AACGGAATTTATTTAACCTTTCTATAAAGGATATTTGCCTGAAATTGTAATTTCGCTATCGTTCCATGATTTTATTTCAGACCGAATTCGCATTGTATGAACATAAATATTATATTCTAAGGCTATGTGGCCGATAGGGCTTCGATTGGGATAGCAGATAGCAGTTCAATAAAATGGCAAATGCTTTGCTTTATTATTTAGGATAGCATCTCATTTACTTCCGATAACCGTAGACCAAGAAAATGTCACGACCAAGAAATGTCTCGCTCGTTTTTAACTCCTAAAGAGAGACTCTAATCATTTTCTAATCATCCCCCCCCAAAAAAATTGTAGAGTTAAATAATTAATTAAAACTGCATGATTATATTTGTGAAAAATATTTTTTGCATCTTTTATTTGTTACAGCTGTGTGCGTTTACTTTTACACCAGTTTTAAAATATTTAAAGCAAGAATCATGGAAATACCATCAAATGTTTAGCAATAACTAAGAGCTCTTAAAATTTCTTTTCGTTGATAATATTAATATAGCGATGTTTCGTTTAAGATCATTTGAATGACCGCAAAGGATATGCATATTATGTGCCTAAGAGGACATGGCTTCGTGAACATCTTAAGGAAAACTTCTTGTATTTATGTTTTACTTGGTGAAATTTCAAAAACTCCCATGAAGCCACTCCGTTCGCCGATTTGAACCCAGATCAAACTACAATGTTTAGCGCTTTCACAATTTGTCTGTTGGTGGGTTCGCTTCCAAAGTGAAGGTTGAGGAAAGTTCCGAATTTGGGAAATTAAGAATTAAGCTTCTCGTTGCATTTGCTGCAGATGAATTTCATTCTCGAAAAGGAACATAGTTCATGGATGACCTTGAAATCTTTTTGAAATCTGCTATGTTTGTTTTTGCCCTATCGGATTTTCAGGTCGAGACCGTAGTGCTAAAAATCGCCGGTGAATCTGATCCTTTTGTTAAATGGTAAATGTTAGAATTAGCCCGAATTTGAATCTTAACTGATCGAATTCCTCCCTGGTTAGGATACTAACCACCAACAATTAACAGTTTCCGTAAGTACGCTCAGATTAGTGGTAAATATTATAAAGTGACTGAATTTCGAAGTATTGAAATTGAGCCTTGAAATTTCATGGCCAGAAATTTTTATTGCTATTAAAGGATGAGGTGCAATTGGAGGATGTGACAGTACTCTGCACTGAAGTGACCACAGGGAAATCTGGAAAAGTATCTTCAACTATCTGAAGCGATTTGAGTCTCTTGCTTAACAAGTGCATCAGTTCAGATCCATAACTAGGGACAACGTTATAGTACCACGCTAACTGCAATTTTCATTAAATTTACTGTATTGTTGTAGATAAGATATTCTCTATCCATTGCCAGCAGTGACTGCTTTATTCGCATTAGGAAAAATATTAGCTTCCTGTGCTGCCAATTATCAGATCTGTCACCAGGTCTACTCAAACTACGATCTATGACGCAATTTTATTTTGTAATTATTTTGAATTATTGTAATCTCGAAAATTTTCAGGTACCATATTTCAACGAAAATATCCATTTTGACCGCTCTCAAATCCATTTGAATTATGTTTCTGCGTGACGTCTGTACGTACGGATCGAATAAAAGACTAAATTGTTTTTCCAAAATGGATTACGTACGTATGTATGTATCTCAAATAACTCAAAAACGAGTAGTCTCAGAACGCTGAAATTTTATACATGGCACTACTATAACATGTAATTGTGCACCTCCCTTTCTGCTTGCAATCGGCCGCATCAAAATGATATATATATATATAGATTTTTTATGCCTTTCTGTATGCAATAGTTGTAGAATTATCAACAATCTGAGTTGTTTGAGTGCTACTAAGCCTAACGAAGCTGCAGTTGTTTACGTTTAAACTCTTAATAGAATAAAGAGTTAAGTGAGTTTCTGCACCTTCAATGTCTTTTTGCTGAGTGAGACCAAAAATAAACTTTCAGTTTTGTGTACCGAAAGCTCTGTCTTTTGCCCGTAGGCCAAATTTCTTGTTTTGGCGTAGAAACTCTAATTTTAACTGTAAAACTTGCTTTTTTTTAACTCTTTTAAATTTTACTTGGTGTTTAATTTTTTTTTTTTTTTCTCTGTATTTTACAACATTTAAAGACGATAGTTTTGAGTTTTTATGCATTATTATCTTGTCGAAATATATCTAGAATGAAATTCGAGGAAATAAATTAAAATTAAATGCAGCAAAAGATGTGCATAATTTAATAGGCCGTACAAGGAAGTCGTGTGGGTTTCCACGTGAGTTTTTTTAATTCAAATTCAATATAAGCCTGGCAAAATTTTAATTTTTGAAAAAATGAAACTTTCAATTGTAGTTTATACAATTAATAAAATTTCAGAAATTTTGAAACTTTGTAATTGATTAATAAATGATTACGAATGTGAAATTTAAAATTACACGCAGAAAAATTGTTTATTTTCGAATACTTATAATAGATATTTTTCTTTCCTTCTGTAAACAAACAAATTAATACACATGCTAATGCTTGGTCACAAGCTATATCAGATCAATCAAACTTTTACATTTAAATCAATTTAAAAATTATAATAAATGACGTTCTGTATAAATCTTTAAATAATGTATTTTTAAGCAATCTACTAGCAGTGGAATGAGTTCACATAATCGTTCATTATGGATGGACATTTCGATGCATTACTTTGAATGCGCGATTAAAGAAATCTATAAACATGACCAAAACCAAGAAAACCATTTAGAAATTACACATTTTTAAAATTTAACACTTTATAGAAGGAGTTTATTTTAGCATTGTATTAATATATATATATCTATGTATTAATATAATATATATATATATATATATTATTAATACGATATATATATATATATGTGTGTGTGTGTGGTGTTGATGATCAGCTTAATCGTAGCTTAAATAATCAGACGATAAGTTTAAAAAAACAGGATCCATTTATTATTATTCAGGAGAAATAGCAGTTACAAAAATCAGATATCCGAGTAAAGTAAAAAAAAGAATTACTAATAACTTTTGTACGAATTTACTGCATCGTGACATTTAAGAAAAAGCCCCGATATTCCTTTTGCGAGTGCTTTTATACCCTCTGGAAAGGCGGAGCTTCCAAGAAATGACGTCAGCCAATCCAGTTCGCTTTAAATATCTCGAGAACATTCTATAACTGCACGTATAGAAAAGGCGGGAAAAACAACTTGACTACGGGGCTGTGAATTTTAATTCCACGTACTTTCAAATAAGAGAACGTCGCCATTAAAAATGAAAAGAACATACAGTTAGAATTTAAGTGTATTCTTGACTATGGAATTTTATTATTACATATATATCGTTACAATGGCAGTTTAATTCTGAACACGAAATACACTTTTATGAAGTACCTTAACATCTGTTTAAAATTTTTTAGCGTTGATGTGAGTGAGAAATATTTCTTAGTAGTTCCCCTTAGTACTTTTTTGGGAGGCCTTTTACTGTAATTACAGGCTGATAGAGATATCACATTAAGTTGATCAACCTGATTTTAGACCATCATGAGGTAAAACATCATATCATGACTACATAATTGATTCTGTTAGTTGCTCCTGACTAATAAGCATCTTTAATCGGTTTCAAGGCTTTAAATTCAGATAAGCTTAAGTCTACTATCTGAACATTCTAATAATTCAATATAAATTTCTCAAACCACTTTTTGCATTGAATGAAGATATGACAAGGTACAGTTTTACCAAAGAGTAAACGTTCCATTGTCTCCGAAGAGATCATATGATGATGATAATAATTTTGACTCAAATACCCCCCCCCGATACGATATATTTTCTGCTACTTAAAGTACAATTTAATCTCATAAATTTTTATTATACATTTTACTGTCATGCAACCTTATACACACAACTAGCTGTAGTATATGTAGCTGTACGCTCCACAGTAGGTGTTGTGCACTCAAGCCAGCAAATCTTCACCTGTTCTTGTCATATTTCAACTCCACAGCATCAAATACGAGTATTCCATTTCTTTGGTTCATTATCATACTACATGATTTCACAATTGCAGATGAAACTTTTCTGTTGTTTTTATGACCTATTAATGTCCTTTTTTTCTCGTTCTGAGATTTTTAGACCATTTTTTATGTGAAGTTGATAGGTAAAAAAGGCCTTCTCTTTGAACTTCAAATTTTGCGCTAGAATTAGAATCAAAATTTTGAAGTCGCCAATTGAATAGTTCTACCATTTAAGTTTACATCACATTAATGCGAATTATTTTTAACTACCTCAGACCATTTCCTCTGTTTATAAATGCAGCTTTTCAGTTCTTCTGTCGCAAAATACAGTTTTATAGTTTTAGATCTTTAGGTACCTTCACCAGTTTGATTTCAATCAACTGAGTCTGATGTTTGGAAACTTTCATTTCGTATATTTCCATCTACTTTTCTTATAATCTACTATTTCTTATTATTTTATTTATCGTAATAAATGAATTATGTAGTTTAATTAAAGAAATTACGACTGTAAAAGCCACACAAGAAACTTGCCTTATTGTTAATATAAAAATTAAATAAGAAGTTTTAATATCAATTCTGATAGCAAAATTTGTGTGTTTATTCATGTTAACCAATTTATTAAATCCTTTTCATAGAATCGCAGCATTGATTGATTCTGAGATTTCTTCTAAGATAAGTCAGTTGCATTTTCTTCGTGTCGTTTTTCTATTATAACTTTGTTTGCGTAAGAAGATTGATTCAGAAAGTTTATTCACTATTCCTCTTTTCTCATTTCCGGTTTTAATCTTCATATTTAGAAACTAAATAAGAAGATTCCCCAAACGAAACTCTACTAACATTGAAAAACAAATTATCAGGATAAGCACCTATTAAAGCAATAAATAAAATATAAAAAACGCAAGTAAAAAATATAGTATAAAATTTTGCATAAATAATAAATAGTCTTTAAATACGATACTTACAATTCTTGTATTCAAATCTATAACCATTCGTATATTCAAATGGATGTGGATTCACTTCATTACTCTGCAAAAATCATATATCATATATTAATTAATATAAATATGTCACCAGGACTTCTGAAAAGTAAAATAAACATGCAATGAACCTTCATACTACGACCACCTCTCTAAGATTTCTATTTCTGATAAGAAACCAATCTTTCTTAAAATACACATAAAAGTTGGTACCTTTGTCAGATGACTGTCTCCATAGACGATCAAAATCATGGCAAATCATTTTGTCTTAGGAAGACTACATTGTATATGATAAGAATTTTATAAAATTAAATTGACCCTTTTGAAAAGTGGAAATTATTCATTTAAATAAGATGCTGTCGCAAATTAAGTAACACCAGACATTCCTTATTTTTCGCGTTTGCGTTTCGCGGATGTTGGGATTCATTATTAATGGAATATTTATGTCATTTCTGAATTGATTCAGGTGATTAACGCAATTTTACTTATTAGCTTTATTCCAATTAAGTCAAATAGTATTTGTTTTATGCCACCCGTTTATTTTCTGGTGATTCTCATAACATTTCTAGCTTTTTTTTTTTATTTTCATACTGAATTAGATCAAATTAACTGTCACAGAACGCTTAGAAAGTCACAGAGTGATTATGTTTTCACAGGAAAACTGTTGTTTAATTTTGCCTGCAGTTAAAATTAAATATTGCATAATTTTATCCGCAAAATGCTACAGTATTTCAGGAAATTATTCAAATTTCATATAGAATTGTTATATTTTCTAAATTTTCTTGTTTAAAATCCTTCTCGCTAATGTTAGATTGGAATCAGGACTAATACTGCTTCGAATAAAAAATAAAGACATATGATTCTCATATTAGACCAAAAGATAATTAAAGTTAATCTTAGACAGGAAAGCAAAGAGGGAGAAGCTGAAAATTAATTAGGCTCCTGAATTCAAGCAGACAGTCTTGCTGTAAATGCAAAGAAAAAATTAATTAAACGATCTCATTTAGCAAACACACAAATTAAGAAGAAAAAGAAGATTTTTACTTTTTACAAACTGAGTTATTAGTTGTATTATTACAACGCGAACCATTTACATGCATTGCGAAAACAAGAAATTCTTATGACGCATTTTATTGTGGCATTTAGTGCATCATAGTGACCTTGAAAATGAATTTGCGCTATATCAAGATATGTTTCAATATGGTAAAAGCGAATTTTTTAAAAAAAATTTACAGGCAGTTTTGGAAATTTATCGCATTTATTATTATCACAGTATAAGGGATTTTCGCCTTCTCCACTGCATGACTTCACGTGCTAGTGGTAGCAGATCTAGCTGGTCACTAGAAAATATGGAATTCGTATGCCGACGAGAAAACTGCTGATTTTCGTATTTCCTGCTTCGGTGACAGCTTAATAAACTGTACAGTGGCGAAAGACTAAAATTTGGTGGATGATAATTCGTCACTGACTGAATTTAGCGACTGGATCTTTGCCTTCTCCAGTTGCCTTTCATGTTGGTGAGGATATCAAGAACTTTCACCTTTCCCTGTCTTTGTCTTCGGGGTGCGAGAGGTAGCAAGTCTAACTGGCAGTCAGGACATTAAGAATTCGAATTTCCGGTGAAGTCATTGATGACTACACATTTTTCCTGCTTCTAAAAGCCTAATAGACTTTTATATGTTATGTATTCGTTTCGGGAGTTTGTATTTATTTAAAAAAATTATCAACGAATAATTGTTATTACTTCAAGTCTATATTTATTATCCACTTAACTACATATATCAATAACTCCTGCATAACATTAATGAATAACTTCTGCATTGAACAAAATGTTATAGAAATTACACATTGGACGAAATTATTTTTAGAAAGATGCAGGGTTTTCCTTATTTCGCATAAAAAATTTATTTTAAGTTTGATTTCCTGTTCTAAACTTCTCAACTTCCCTTCACATTCTCTCGCCAGGATGTAAATTTAAAGTTAAGCGCAGCGCTATTTAAACATGTGAATATCTCAGTTTATTCAGAGCGTGTTTCGCTAGCCAAGCGCACGTTTCGTTGTTATTTCGCGGTCACACTAGTAAGCCTCTTGGCCTTATCAGATTAGTATCACGCCGGTTAGATTTCTGTGAGTCTACCTCTTAGGCGTAAACTTAAGTGCGCTCTTGCACTATTTATTTCAGATTTGACTTGCATTTTATTCTGCGTTTAGTTTCCACCGGAAGTGGACAGTGTATTTGTAACGCACGAAGTCCGTGTCTTTCTGTTAAATTAGTTTGAATTAATAAAGGGTTATTGTTCATCCTTCTTCTGTGTTGGTAATTTATTCACGCCTGTGAGAGAATTCGCCAGGTTCGTTGTAGGATCTAATTTAGTTTATGTGGAATAACAGAGACAGATCTTAGAAAGATATTTAAAAAAATCCCTTTTATATGCTTATGTTTAGAAAAACTACAGCAATTATTATTCCATATACTTTATATGCATAATATGTTTTTAACTTCAAAATGCTATGTGAATAAAAACCTTTATACAGAAAAAAAAATATGCGTTTACAGATTTATATATTCCTACAAATGCAAACATAGTATAATTTAATTCTACGTAAGAGGAACATTAAAAGTCTTCCTTGCCAGTGTAATGAAACAAATTTGAATATATAAAGAACGAAGTACAAAATAGGCAGTTAAACAACACATAATACACAAAATTTGACGTGTATAAATTTTTGAATAGGAGAGAAATGATTTCATTTTTGACATTACAAACGTCTTAGCAAAAATTTTTGGACCGTTACTTATGTAAGTTATGCCACCGAATTATGGCCACTGCATGAGAAAAACGATTTATATACTCACGTTTGTGAAAATTGCAACACCAAGAAGGAATCGTCATAATTGAATGCAATTTAATACACAGTTGAGTGGTAGTGGTACAAATAAATGATTAAATGTGTTCAAAGCAAACAAACAAGAACAAGAGATCATAATCAGTATTTTGGTGTGGCCACCACGCGCCGCAATAAGTGCTGCTACACGACGTGGCATGGAGTCAAACAAAGTTTGAATGTCTGACTGAGGAAGAGCATTCCATATCGTTTTTGTACGCGTACCCAAAGTTCGTCTGCAGACGCAACAGGACGAGGATCACACGAGCAAGACGCCCGACCAATGACATCCACACATGTTCAATTGGCGACATATCCGGGGAACACGCAGTGGCCAAGGAAGAAGCTGTACCTGCTGCGCTGCAAAGAAGGATTTAACAATCCGAGCAGTATGAGGCGGGCATTGTCCTGTTGAAATACAGCGCCTGGCAAGCTTTGAAGGAAGGGAACAGCTTCGGACTGTAGAACTTCACGGATATACCGGTTGCTGTTCAGATTGCCCACAATTCGTAGCAATTGAGATCGTCTATGATATGCTATGGCGCCACAGACCATAACTCCGGGTGGTTCGTCCACTGTGGCGTTCGATAATGCACTCCGGAAGGTGGCGTTCACCGGCATAGCGTCTGACACGAAATGCGGCCATCATGGTACCACAATTAAAGCGGGATTCGTCAGAAAACACGACATGCTGCCAATCAGCACGCCAGTCTCTATGCTGATTGGCCCATTGTAGCCGCACGGCGATGGTCGTGCGTTAGGGGGATCCTGTATAAAGGAGTCCGTGCGCGCAGTCCACACTGCAGCAGACGTCTACGAATTGATGAAGCACACAATGAAACACCTGTAGCTATTGACCACAGTGCTGCCAATTGTCTAGAGGAAGCTGTACGGTCCGTCCGCGCCATGCGGACCAGGTGTCTATCATCGCGAGCTGACGTCACATTTCGGGGTCCACTCCCGGATTTCCGAGTTGTCCGACACTCGTCCGTCCACTGCTTCCAAACGCGCATCACTGTGCTCCTGTTACGCTGCACACGAGAGGCTACTGCACGATACGACAATCCAGCTTCACGAAGGCCGATGATTCTCCCTCGTTCAAACTCTGTAAGTTGTTCAAATCTCGCTCTTTCGTCGACGAGGCATAAGTACAGATTGAGTTAACGTTTACCACTAGCAGATAACCACCGATAACCATACACGCCTCGCTACAGCCGTCTATTTATTCGGATCCATCAGCCGTTCAGAGGGCGCTGCTCAGCATACGCATGCGCTACGGATTTGCAATTCTAATCATTTGCATATCATGCGCTACTTTGCATTTCCTGAAAATTTCAGCTCACTCGCGTAAGTCCTTCATGGTGTTGCAATTTTCACAAACGTGAGTGTAGTTCATTCTCCACACGACAGCCAGTTTCCAAAATGTTGCTGACATAAGATTTTTAATTTATCTCTCATATTAACAATTTGCCAATTATGAGTATTTAAAAACTTAATAATTTTGATTCATTAAGTTGGTTTCTAAATTTAAAACCCGAACCCACTACCGAAAGGAAAAAAAAGCCAGTCCTGTACTTTACCTTTTTATTACTATTATTATTTGAAAACATAATATGATTATTCTTTACCTTCGGCAAAGTTGATTAGCATCTGAGCGGCCCTGAAAGCGGCAATTGGTGCAGCGCTATCTATTGGTGACGTTGTCAAATGCTCGTTACGCGTATTATTTGGTTTAACCTTGATAATAATGTATTTGTTGAAGTTTTAGATTTTTCCATTTGTATATGCCTAATTATCTACCTTGATGCCAAATTTCAAGTATCTACGTTACTCAGAGGTCTAGGTTTTGATAAGTGAGTCAGTCAGTGAATGATAAAAATGACGCTTTTCAGAACTTAATAATTCCATGATCCTAAGAGTTAGGTTAATGAAATTTGGGATTCTAGGTGTTCAAAAGATCTCTATTAGATGTACAAAATTGCAGGTTTGTAGGTATGTAAGTTATTAGTTGTATTATTACAACGCGAACTATTTACATGCATTGCGAAAACAAGAAAGTTTTTGAGTAATGCGGGGGGGGCGTCGAAAGTAGCTTGAAATTATTAGTTCGACATACGGCAAGGTTGCGTTCTGTGTATTCACAAATAAGCTACTTATTCAATCAATCACATTTATTTTTAATTTACATAGTGAAAAAAAAAGAACATTCTACAAAAACATATCATGCAGCGTATATGCACGCTAGCGATAACGGCACAAGCACGAGGAAGAACTAACTACAACAAATCAGTTCACTTCACTTGAGAGAAAAGTACAGAGTTTAGTTGCAGCACTGCTATACAAGAAAAAAACAAAGTTAACATTTAATTTAAAAGTTCGTTGCATGGTTGCTGCATACTCCCCTCCCAGTGTCAACGATATCGTACAGGGAAATGAACATGACGCCGAGAACGTGTAGTCTTAGGTTGCACCTTTGTTGCAGGCTGTGCTGAAGTGGTGATATCAGATAACACTCATTTGATGGGGTATCTGGGTTAAGTGGTAAATCATGTACCAGAGTGCCCTGCAAACGGTGAGGTGAAGTTGGTGGTGGAGCGATTGGTTTATCCCTGTTCAGAACATAAGCTGGCTTTACACGATCAATGGATACAGGTACAGTTTTGCCATTTATGTCTAGGTAAAAGACCTTCTCTGTTCTACGAACAACTAAAAATGGTCCAACATAAGGAGGTTGAAGTGGGCGTCTCACCATATCATGACGAAGAAAAACATGGGTAGCTGTGCCTAAATCACGGTGTATAAAGGTTTTGCTATCACCATGTCTCTTGGGTGGTATGGGGCGAAGTGTTTGCATATGTGCACGTAAGTGGCTGACAAAATCTGTGGTGTCAACCGGTTGTTGAACAGGAACCAGGAACTCCCCAGGCAGACGAATGGTGGTGCAACCCAAATCTTCTTTCAATCATTCTATCAATTTCAAAATCTGCTGGTGTGCAACCCAAATCTTCTTTCAAAGCAGCTCGAAAACCAAGAAGAATCACAAGAAGGACTTCAGTCCACCGCTCAGTGGCATGGCACTTGATAGCAGTCTTAAGAGGTCGATGCAATCCCTCTATTAACCCATTCGACTGGGGGTGGTAACTAGTCGTCCTGGATCTCTGAATTCCCAGGTGATGAGTGAGAGAGCGAAAAAGTGAAGCTTCAAACTGGCGTCCTTGGTCAGTTGTCACAGTAGAGGGCACTCCATACCTGGAGACCCAGCATGTGAAAAATGCTTCTGCAACAGTTTTCAGCAGAGATATCCTTGAACGGTTGAGCTTCTGGCCATCGAGAAAAGATCAATTAAAGTCAAGCAGTAAGAATAACCATTTGAGGGAGGGAGAGGGCCTATAAGGTCCAAATGAACATGGTCAAATCTTTGGGAAGGCTCCTTAAAACTTGCCAAAGGTGCTTTTGTATGGCGATGAATTTTAGCCTTTTGACATGGGATGCAACACTTGGTCCATTCAGCTATATCCGATAACATTTTAGGCCAAACAAATCGTGACCGCACAATGTGTTGTGTTCTGCGTACACCAGGGTGAGCCATGTTGTGTAATGAGGCAAAAACATCCTGGCGAAACTGTGTTGGGACATAGGGACGAACTCTGCCAGTCGATACATCACAGAATAGATCAATGTTTGATTCCGGGAGAGTAATTTGATGTGTCTGATGACAGTAAGGACTTCAACTCATCATCCAATGTTTGTGCTTTAGCTATTTTCAGAATAATCAACTGCTGCAGGAAGAGTTAAGGCAGCTATACGGGACATGACATCTGCAGGAATATTCTCAGGCCCTGGAATGTGCTGTATGTTAGTTTGTGAATTGCGAGATGAAATCGAGAGGAAATCTAAATGCCTCACCTGGCATGGAGAGCACTTGTCATTCTTTTGACGGAAAGCATATATCAGAGGCTTATGATCAGTATAGAGGGCAAAGTCTCTAGCCTCCAACATATGTCTGAAATGGCGAATGGATGCATAAGCAGCAAGGAGCTCCCGGTCATAAGCACTGTACCGAGTTTCTGCTGTACTGAGCTTCCTCGAGAAAAAAACCTAAGGGCTGCAATTTGGAGTCCACAACCTGATGCAATGCACCACCAATAGCATGATCAGATGCATCTACATGCAAAGCAAGTGGGGCAGTTGGAGAAGGATGGGCAAGTAACGTGGCATTAGCTAGTGCTTGTTTGCATTTTTCGAAAGCCTCTGTTGCAAGCGAAGTCCAAATAATTGGTTTCTTCGAATTCTTTTTACCAGAACCCTTTAGGATGTCACTTAACAAAGCTTGGTTATCTGCTGCATGAGGCAAAAACCTGCGATAGAAATTCATTAGGCCTAGAAACTTACGCAAATTACCAATAGTTTCAGGCAACTTAAAATCTAGGACTGCTTGGACTTTATTTTGCAAGGGTTTAACCCCTTCTGGGCTTATATGGTGACCAAGAAACTCCAACTCAGTGACACCAAACACACATTTTGAAACATTTAACTTGAGACCATAAGTACTCAGTCTTTGAAATATAGCATGCAAGTGCTTCTTATGCTCCACTGCATCATTTGAAAAACATAGTATATCATCAAGATAAACATAACAAAACGGGAGACCCCTTAGGACCTCGTGCATAAAGCGCATGAAGGTTTGGGTGCATTCACTAAGCCAAAACACAGATGAGTATACTCGTAGAGACCCCATGGGGTTGTCACTGCTGTTTTAGGAATGTCAGCGTCTGCAATAGGAATTTGGTGAAATGCTTTAAAGATGTCTACTTTTGAGAAAATGGATTTACCGTAGAGTGAATGAGCAAAGTCTTGAAGGTACGGAATAGGATAACTATCAAAATCAGTCACAGAATTCAGCTTGCGGTAATCTCCAACCGGACGAACTGTAGAATCCTGCTTAGGGACGACATGCAATGGTGAACTCCATGGACTTTTGGAAGGACGGATTATCCCTTGATCCAGGAGGAATTCGAACTCAGATTTCACTGCTTCGTGCAGCTTCGGATGGAGTCGTCTCGGTTTTGAAGTCACAGGTGGTCCACGAGTCAAGATATGATGCACTGTGTTATGAGGAACAGTCTGCTTAATTAGAGTAGGATTTGTTATATCTGGAAACTCAGAAAGCAAGGAGTCATAATCTGAATTAACAGAAACTGTGACAATAGAAGGTTGGCTTTTGTGAGCAACATTGCCATAAGTAAACAGTGAAGTTTCAGGATTTATAAGACACTGCCGTTTCAAATCAACAAGAAGATTAAAATGTTTCAAAAAATCTGCACCGATGATAGGAGAAGTTACATCAGCAATCACAAATGTCCATGAGAAGGGCTTCCGGAGACCCAAGTCGACCTGTCTGCGCACGAATCCATATGCAGGAATTTTAGAATTGTTGGCAGCAAAAAGGGCAAATGTTTCACAACAGTTTCTCTTATCTTTAGGAGAAGGAGGTAACACTGAGATCTCACTACCAGAATCAATCAAAAATTTTTGACCAGTCTTCCTGTCGTGAAGAAATAATCGACTGGGCTTTTTGGATACTTCCGTCATCCCAGCTATGACGGGAGTTACAGGTTTTTTTTTTTTGCTGCTGGTACGCGCAAGGCTTAGCACATTTGCGTGCCTTATCACCAAAACGGTTATGATAGAAACACACATTACTGGAAGTATTACTTTTTCTGGAGCGAGAGGTTGAACGACTCCGGAACCTAGTTGTCCTCCGATCATGGGAAAGTTCAGAAACTTGGCGTGTAAGTTCTTCGATCTGCCTGGCTACGGTTTCAGTTGTGATGGCACTGGGATCCAAGGATGTTCCAGCTCCAGAAGTAGCACAGATTGCACTAGGTTGAACAACCTCAGCGACTTTATCAGCTATAATTGCTAGCTGATCAAGTGTTTCAGAAGAAGCAGACAGAACTGTTTGGATATGGGCTGGCATCCGTTGCATCCATAAATTTTGCAAAAAGTCATCATTAAGCTGTTTCCCAGAAAGCTCTTTCATTTTCCGTAGGAGATGACTAGGCCGTTCATATCCCCCAACTGAAGTTCAGTGAGGAGTTTTTTAATTTTCTGGTGTTCAGAATCTTCAAATTCACTGATGAGTCTCTCAGACAGTTTTTTATATTTGTCCGAGTCCGGAGGGTTTAGTACGATATCCGAGACGTGCGACAGAGTTTCCGCATCTATATTCGTTATAAGAGCAGAAAATTTCGTTTCATCACTGTCAATTCCGCTGTAAATGAAGGCATTGTCACATTGTGCGATCCACAACCGCACGTTAGCTTTCCAGAAAGGTGGAATGCGAAGTGCAACTTTCGCTACTTGGCTCTGCTGATCGGGTGGAGGCATCGCTAGTATGTGGAAATAGTTCCGGAAAGCAGAAACAAAATAATCGTAATTATCCAGAAAGCGAAGTCGCCACAGTGGGATAGGCTTACCACAGCAAGGCTTAGCGAAGCATGTGACCAATTAACGTAACTTATTTTTCGTCCATAGGTCACCAATTACGGCAAGGTTGCGTTCTGTGTATTCACAAATAAGCTACTTATTCAATCAATCACATTTATTTTTAATTTACATAGTGAAAAAAAAAGAACATTCTACAAAAACATATCATGCAGCGTATATGCACGCTAGCGATAACGGCACAAGCACGAGAAGAACTAACTACAAACAAATCAGTTCACTTCACTTGAGAGAAAAGTACAGAGTTTAGTTGCAGCACTGCTATACAAAAAAAAACAAAGTTAATTTAATTTAAAAGTTCGTTGCTGGTGCTGCAGCCTTAAAAATGATTGCAACTTTTATTCATAATCATGAACAGCACTAAAAACTTATACAGAAAAAATTACAGACGTCCACCTTCAGCACACCCAACACCAACACATGTGGTGAACGAAAAACACATGGTCAACAAAACTCTTTAGTCAATGTTACAGTTACATATGAAAATTTAAAAACAATAACACAGCAAAAAAAAAAAAAAAATGTTCTGAAAATTCACACACTTAATTTAAAAAAATTAAATGCACATTATTACAGTTATTAGCAATGACAAATAATTATTACACTTTTCTTTCATAATTTAAATTGATTTTTTTACCAATTTCTGAGCTATCACCAGGCCACTGAAATGCTAAGTTCAAATCCAATGTATTGGACTGGTGCAGCCATCTACTGACAAGATAGTGAAATGCAAAGTGTTCTAACATTACTCCCTCACCAGTAACTAAGTTACGATACTTAAATTGCATTGGTAAGGTCAATAATCGAATAACGTGATCACTACATCTCATGATCAAAATGCACTTCACGTATAAAAGAATCAATTTCTAAGCTTGCATCTGGTTCTGAATTGTAAGGTTATAGCAAATTAAAATACAAATAATAATTAAGGTAGCTGGAACTTCAAGATATATCACTAATCTTTTTGTTCCATGCTGGAAATCCACATAATTGTAGATACCACATTCAATATTCTATACATTCATTATACATTTCATTATTATATCTCAAAGTTAATATATACATACATACTCCATATCTGGGCTTAACTGAACAATTCAATGTGACATGCTTTCAGTGACATGAAAATAGTTAACACCAATAAAAATCTGATCAGTATTACTAAAATTTTCACATTTCATAGCAGGTATTTAAAAAACACCAAATGCACTTTTCTTATTTTACTCACTCCTGACTGACTCAATGCAACACTGTCCTGAATATACACCTTAGCAACTAATATTCTTTGAAAATTATTAGTTTTCTGAAAAACAGGTATTAGTACTGCATTAAACTGCAGCTGGATAGAAATTATATTTGCTCTAAAGCTCATATATGCCTAATACCAACATGATTAGAATACTACTTATTTACATACAGCTCAAATTCTTAATTTTCAATACTGCAATCTAACATTAACAAATTAGTGAAAAAGACATATCTCATAATACATAGATATATGTGCACTACACTATATAGCACTGAAATATTCTAACTGAAACAATAATTGTATTTTATAAGATAGCTTCTAAGGAGGTAATGCAGATGTTATGCCTAAGCAAAAACACACTGTATTCCAAAACACAATAATACCAACCCTTACAGCTAATACATGCATATAGAATTTGAAGCAAAAATTTCTAGAACAGTAAAAACAATATGGAAAGTATATCTGAATATATTCATGAACAGTAATATATTGCTCAATATCTACACCACTACGACTCTGGTATATTACAGAAGATACATAAATTAGAAATTATAAAATCAGTATACATTATTGTGAAGGAGATAAATACGATATGACATTAGCCTTAATTGGGAAAGTAGATCATGAATAATAATATTTGCAGTAACAAGAAATAAGAGTTGTGATTTAGTTTTAAGTTCGAAACCTAACAGGAAGTTTTATTTCTCTACCACAACGAGTGTTTGTTGGGAAATTACTATGATGCATTTCCTTTGAGGATCCACCATTGACATCGTCGTCAAGAAGCTGATTCGGTAGCTCTGGCATGCTATCTGCATTCATAAGGTAAGCAGGTTTCAGCCTATCAATAGAGATGTTAACATCTTTTCCTTTAATATGCACAGAATAATACTTATCATGTCTTTCTGCTACAGGAAATGGGCCATCATATGCAGGCTCTAGTGGTTTTTCACCCGATCAACTCTTACGAACACATGAGTACAGGTCCTTAAATCTCTATGTACAAAAACTTTTTGATAAGATTGACATGTATCTGCAGACTTCATTGGCTTTACTAGGGCCATCTGCTGCTGAAGATTGTACACAAATGTGTCAGGTTCAACGTGGACACTGGGTTTTTTTAAAAAAATTCACCAGGAAGTCTGATATTGGTACCATATACCATTTGAGCAACAGAATAGTTTGTACCATCTCTGATAGCAGCTCTTAAACCCAACAAAATAGTGGGTAGCATATCACTCCATTTTACATTATTGTGAGCTTTTATTGCAGCCTTTAGTGTCCTGTGAAAGCGCTCTATTTTCCCATTACATTGGGGATGATAGGGCGTTGTATGCAGAAGTTTAGCACCACAAATAGCAGCAAGATTTTTAAACATTTGGGAGGTAAACTGGCGACCTTGGTCAGTTACAATACACTGTGGCACTCCAAATCTGCTCACCCAATGGTCATAAAAAGCTTTACTCACCAGTTCTGCAGTGATCTCTTCTAATGGAACTACCTCCATCCAACAGGAAAATCTATCAATGCATGTTAGACAGTAAATTTTACCATTAGATGGTGGCAAAGGCCCAATCAAATCAATATGGATGACGCTAAATCTGGCATCAGGTTCTTGATATGTACCAAAGGTCGATTTGGTGTGTCTTGTTACTTTAACTTTCTGGCACTGCAGACAAGCTCTAGCCCAATCACTTGCTTGTTTCTTCATCCTGGGCCATACAAATCTGGCAGTTATCTGTTTTACAGTGGATCTGACACCAGGATGTGCAAAACTATGGATATGGATATGATCAAAAATTTTCTTGCGAAAACTTTGAGGTACATATGGGCGAATATTGCTAGCTGAAGTATCACACCATAGGACATTTTTAGATTGTAGTACATATTCCTTGAAAATTAATGAGGTGTTACTTGCAATTAATTCTTTCAACTCAGGGTCATTCTGTTGTGCCTTTGCAATTTCTTCATAATCAATTACAGATATCTCTTCAATTCTGGAGAGAGTATCTGCTACAATATTGTCCTTTCCACTAATGTGCTGTATATTTGTAGTAAACTGGGAGATGTACTGTAACTGACGCAGCTGCCTAGGTGAAGCTTTATCATTCTTTTGCTTGAATGCAAAAATCAGTGGTTTATGATCAGTGAAAATTTGAAAATCTCGTCCTTCCAGCATGTATTTAAATTGCTTCACAGAGAGAGATATATTCCAAGCAATTCACGATCATATGTACTGTATTTTCTTTGAGCCCCATTTAGCTTCTTTGAATAAAATGCAACTGGTTTCCAGTTACCATCTTCATACTGTTGCAAAACTGAACCAATTGCCCAATCTGAGGCATCAGTGCACAGAGATAATGGACATTCAGACTTTGGATAACTTAAGAGGGCAGTATTAGCCAAGTCAGTTTTGCACTTCTCAAATTGCTTTATGCTTTCTTCAGTCCAAGGTACTTTACTTTTATCTTTTTTTCTTTGCTCCCTTAAGCATTTCATGTAGCATGGCCTGGGTCTGCGCTGCATCTTTCAAGTACCTCCTATAAAAATTTACCATGCCTAAAAACGTTCTTAAGCCATGAAGAGTGGATGGCAGTTCATAATCAAGAATAGCTTTAACTTTGTTTGGCAGAGGTTGCGAACCAGAAGGCGTAATGAGATACCCCAAAAATTCAATTTCTTTAACTCCAAATACGGACTTTGACACATTTAAGCATAGGCCATATTTATCAAGCCTTTCGAAAATTAAGCTCAGATGTGTTTTATGCTCATCCTCAGATGACGAGGCGATTAAAACATCATCAAGATAAGGAAAACAGAAATCAAGCCCTCGAAACACCTCGTGTACAAATCTTTGAAAGGTTGAGGGAGCATTTCGGAGACCAAAACTCATAACGTTAAACTCGTACAGTCCAAATGGTGTAATAATGGCTGTTTTTGGTTTATCCTCCTCAGCTATGGGTATTTGATAGTATGCTTTGAATAGGTCTAATTTTGAGAAAATTGTTTTCCCACTCAAGATTAAATGAAAATCCTCAATCCTAGGAATCGGGTATCTGTCCGGAATAGTCTGCTCATTCAGACGTCTATAATCACCACATGGTCTTAAAGTTCCATCTTTCTTTGTAACCAGATGCAGAGGACTAGCCCACTGTGATTTAGATGGCCTGATTATACCATTGTCTAACATGAACTGAAACTCTTGTTTTGCCAAATTCAGTTTCTTAGCATCAAGCTGCCGAGCACGAGAGTAAACTGGCTGTCCTTTTGTAGCAATATAGTGCTGGACCTTATGTTTCACTTTGGTGTTCAATAAATTGGGCTTCGTAATACCAGGGTACTTTCGCAACAGCTCAGAGAATTTTACAGAATTGCTCACTGTGCTAATCGCAGTATTTTCAGTTACTGACATTACATCACTATGTACAAACATATTTGTCACACCATCAATTAATTTTCTCTGGCGAATGTCAAGCAGTAAGTGAAACTGATTCAGAAAATCGGCACCTAAAATGCCTCTGTTTACTTTTGCTACAACAAATGGCCATTGGAATGGGCGACGTAGTCCGAGGTCCACGGTCAACACCTTACTTCCAAACGTTGGGATTTCAGTTCCGTTAGCTGCGTATAGCTTGTATGAAGTGCAGGTACTTTTAGATTTCGTATCAGCTGGAATCAAGCTGATATCTGCTCCACTGTCAATAAGAAATTTGATTCCTGTTTTTCTGTCTTTGATAAAAAGGCGAAATTTGCGGCAATTAATGTTTCCAGTAGCAGCAGGGCTTGCCGCTGATTCTACTGCTAGTTGCAGTTTTCCGGCTGCTTCCAACTGCAGGGAGGTTTGCATTTATCAGGGTAGCATTTTTTTCCAAATTTGAAATGGAAAAAACAGTATTTTCCATCTGGGTCAAAACGCTTGCGGGATCTGCTGCGACTCCTATTTCTTTGATGGCTTCGACTTCGTCGTCTGTCTCTCGTGTGTTGAACACTCAGAGTCGCAATTTGTTGCTCAAGTGAAGAAATGTTTTTTGGCAACATATCATATGGGCCAGCTTCTTGGACCACACTCGCAAGTTCTATCCGGGGATTCATCTCAAGAATTTTGTCGGCCATTGTGGCCAACTTATCAGTACCTTCATCACTAACAATTAAAATGTTTTTTACTTGGTCTGGCAGTTTCTCCATCCATAAAGTTCTCAGAACTTTATCAGACACATCATCAGCATCTCCAAGGGCACGCATTTTTCGGAGTAGTTGGCTGGGCTTTAGGTCTCCCAATTCTAGTCCAGTTAGCAATCGCTTGATGCGTTTGTTTTCACTTTCTTTAAAAGTGCTCAGAAGTCTTTCTTTAGCGGCTGAATATTTGTTTGGCGTGTCGTCTCGAATGATGTCCCAAATGTTTTCTATAAATTTGGGTTCAAGTTGTGCAACCAGGTAATTAAATCTTGTGTCTTCGGAAGTAATTCCACTGATTTTAAACTGTGCCTCTACGGTGAAAAACCACATTTCAGGTTTCTCTACCCAAAATGGCGGTATCTTAACACTCACTTTACTAGCTTCAAGTTTTGAAGTAGATGCAGATTCACTGTCCAATGGCATGTTTGCAATTTTAAGTCAAACTAAAACATTAGCATTCCTAATAAAACACGGGTCACCAGATATTAGTTCAACTCATTGCAAACTTTTATTCATAATCATGAACAGCACTAAAAACTTATACAGAAAAAAATTACAGACGTCCACCTTCAGCACACCCAACACCAACACATGTGGTGAACGAAAAAACACATGGTCAACAAAACTCTTTAGTCAATGTTACAGTTACATATGAAAATTTAAAAACAATAACACAGCAAAAAAAAATGTTCTGAAAATTCACACACTTAATTTAAAAAAATTAAATGCACATTATTACAGTTATTAGCAATGACAAATAATTATTACACTTTTCTTTCATAATTTAAATTGATTTTTTTTACCAATTTCTGAGCTATCACCAGGCCACTGAAATGCTAAGTTCAAATCCAATGTATTGGACTGGTGCAGCCATCTACTGACAAGATAGTGAAATGCAAAAGTTTTACAGATCATAGATTGTTTGTATTTCCTAATGCAATCACAGTACAGATATTTATAGGGCTCAGTTGATTTGAGGTACATTTGAATGCAGGTGCTACCTTGATAAACATTATCTTTTTGCTACTGATGACCAACATTCAAGAGTAATATCAACATGGTAGTTACAGATATGGCACTGTTTGACTTTTGTTTTTACTTATCAGAGATTAGGAAATATGGCATAGTTTGAAATTATTATACACACAATGTGATTTCAAAAAATTAAATTAGTAATTATTAAAAAGACACACAAGTTCTGTTTTAAAAGCAAAACAACGCGAGTAGCTTATTACACGAGTAAATTATGAATAAAACGTGAGTAAATTATGAATACAACATGAGTAAATTATGAATACAACGGGAGTAAATTATGAATTCCGAGTCTCAGTTTGGCCATGTTTGATCTGTACATAAAGTATATGGCATATAATTATAAAAAAATAACTTCTCAGAAACAGTATATTCTAATTGTTTAAGAATATGTTCTGAAAATTATTCAGATTTTTGAAGTTTCAAAAAAAAAACAAACTTTTTTTTCCCTTTCATACAATACAATAAATTGCTATTTCAGTGTCGATGAAGTATCAGACTTTCAGTACTCAGCTACATAAATTTCTATCCATAAAAATTGTTTTCTTACTTTTTCATCAGCAACTAATAACCGATTTTATTTTAGATATAAAAATTGCACTCGGATATATATGTTCTGCTTTACCACTCAGAAATAATACTTGAGCGAATTTTGTGGCATGGGCTATACTTTCACATCATTTTGAGTTTATTAACTTTCTTTAGAATATGGTCACTTTTATCTGGTTGCATGTGTAGTCTCCTTTTATTTTTGTTTATTATCTCTGTCTTTAAAATATACTGAACTCGCATTCTCTCACATTGATTAATATTCTTTATGCAAATGAATATTTAGACAAAATAATGCATAATAAGACAATTAACATTATTATAACATTACAGAACTAATTCTAGAATGGCTACTATGTGGAAGGCTATCAAATACTGCATTTTTAAGTAAATAATAGAAGCATATTTCTATCGTAGTATATGAGAAACTGAATAATATGAGATTATAGTATAGTTAGTTATACGAGAATATCTGAAATAATATTTTCACAAGCATACACATAATGTTTCAATACTTGGGTTTTCAAAGCAGAAAAAGTTATAAAATAATACACATTAATTTTAATGCTAATTTAGCAACATAACAGAACAAAATTAGGAATCAGATGCCAAACAAATATAAACACATCTTAATCCCGTTTTGGTACAACTCTGATATACGCCCTAATTTCACCAAATGTGGCGATATGTGTTCTGCGCTGGTTTTTGGCGCTATTGCGTGTTTTTGTATGGCAACCCTGTTGACGTTGAAGAATCTTTCACTGGAGTTCGTTGGTTCGCGTCATGCTTTATGTGTGAGAAGCTAAAATGGTGGAAGTTGTTGAATTGAAGTTCGGCAAAAGGAAATATCGTCGTGGCCATTCTGTTGAGGGGCAGTGTGTATTTGGAGGTGTGGAAAGAAGGTCTGGGAGATTATTTTTAGTGGCTGTGCATGATAGAAGTAAGGATTTGTGATTATTTGTTATTTTATTTTATTTGTGAACTAAAGTATGGATTTTGTGGATAGTGTGTCTGGGTGTCATATAAATCCGATAGTGATTACTGGGCAGCAGTTAAAGGCGGTATGAATTTGGTATTTTGCTGTTAGAAAAAGCATTGATTCATGGTAAGTGCATTTTATTTATTCTGTTTATTTGTAGAATGGTATGTTCATGTTTTTGTGTAGTATGAATTTCTGTCGTTATTGTTTTTTTTAATTGTTTGAAATTTATTTTAGTTATTTGTTGATTAGTGCGTATTGTCTAAATTGTGCAATTCGTAGATGCTTTTTTAAGTTGAAACAGAACGCTGGTTGTTACATGGTATTCTTGAAATTTATTGTTGTTATGTTAATTTATTAAAGTGAGGTGTGCGTAGTTTGTAAATTCGTTTGTTGCCTAAATGTGCAATTCGTAGATGTTTCTTAAGTTGAAACAGGACGCTGTGTACATGGTATTCTTTGAAATTATGTTGTTATGTTAATTATTACGTGAGGTAGTGAGTAGTTTGTAAATTAGTTTGTTGCCTAAATGTGCAATTCGTAGATGTTTTTAAATTGAAACAGGACGCTGTATACATGGTATTCTTTGAAATTTATTGTTGTTATGTTAATTTATTAAAGCGAGGTGTGCATCGTTCGTAGATTCGTTCGTTGCTAGATTGTGCCATTCGTAGACGTTTTTTGAAGATTAAAACATATCGCTGTGTACATGGACTCTTGTCAAATAATTTGGTTAGAAAACTTTACGGTTTTGCTATCTAAAGTTTTTGTTTTTGTTTCGGATTTTCAGCTTAAATTGTGTGTTCAGAACTGTTTTGCATTCGCGAAAACCGTGTTTTTGGAGACATTTTAGGCTTAAAGTTCGAAATGTAGACAAAAAATTTAGATAGCAATATGGCAGCGTGGAGTTTCTCGCCAAAAATGTTTGGCGAGAAATTTGGCAACTTGAGGGCGCATATCAGAGTAGTTCCCCCGTTTTTCCCCATGTATTTTCCTTTTCTCCTTAGCACCTATTCCCCACATGATATTTACTTCTGTTGGCATAATAAAATGTCGCCCATATCCTTAAAGGTGCCAAGTTGGCGCAACCAAGGCTGTCCTCCGAACCTTATCCCATAATGCCAGTTTTATTCTGAATATTCTTTGAAAGAGAAATTTAAAGACTAAATTTGCCTAGTTTTTCTAAGTTTAGCTTAATCAGTGAACTTGACAAAGCAATCGTATCATGTAAAAACAAGATTAAAAATAGCTGATAGTACTAGAATATCTTACTGAAGATTTTTTTTAAGTGCACGACATTTTCTATATAAGACCAATCTAAAAAATGATCACTATTTATTCTTTCGCTTTCTTATACGGAGAAACATAACCATGCCATTGAGTTGTATAATGCTCGAAATCGTTTAAACATACATAGTCACAGATATCCACAAAGACTTATTTCAGATTTCCGAATTTCCGAAGATTTCCGAAGTTGGGAACCATGTGTACATCAAACGAATTTGTTGATGCTGGGCGGAGCTTCGTTGTGATGTCCATTTACGAATTAAGCGATGATCACATGACCTCCCTGCGCGTTCGGGGATTTAACGCTGACCAGACTTAGCGGGTGTCTACTTTGTCTGTCTAACCAAAGTCTAACCGCTTGGTATGCAAATGTTTAAAGAACCCGCTGATGGCAAGTAACTTTGATCAGAAATATGTGGTAGACTTTTCTACAACACGGAAAATATCGTAACGGCTCCTATTTCCTCTCCTGTAGGCCGTGAATATTTTCCTAGCAACATTGTTGTGTACTTTTAAAATGACTTCATCTCTTTTATATGTAATTTGGAACAATGAATGAACGAACTAAGCTTTATGAGTGCTAAGTCGAGAAATATTAGTCCAAAATAAAAACTTATTTTTTCATGACATGTTTGTTCCTGAATATCTTACCATGTGTATAATGCACTAAATGTGTCTTCTGTTCAAAATGCATTAGTGTTTTATATCATATATGCACGCACCAAATACTTTCCGGAAATTGTAACAACTCCCAGAATGCCATTGAATTAGTGATACATTCTTGATTATATTTCCAAAAAGACCCAGTCAGTTTTTCGAATATATTTCAGTACAGTGTGTATTCGAAATTGTCATACGGAGAAAGAAACTTCTTAAAAAATTCATGCCTACTCACCCTACAGTTACCTCATATATGTGAGGTAGGTAAAAGTCATTTACACGGAAGCCTCAATAAAACCTGCATTTTGCTCCTAATGCAGGATAAGATGTAATCATAATGTGTGGTATGTAAATAAATCATTTGCCGATATATCTAGTTTCAAAGTTCATACGCTTATTTACACAAAAGAAAAGCCTCGCGTATGAAGTGTGTAACAAATCATTTAAACTAAAGAGTTATTTTAACAAACATATATGTATTGACATAGGGAAAAAACCTGGTGCATGAGTTATATAACAACTCATTTAGACAGTATGGTTCTTTAAACAAGCATATGCATACAGGAAAAAAATGCGTGTATAAGGTATGAGAATTTATTTAGATGGAAAAGGACCTTAAACATGAATATCCTTATTCAAGCAGGAAAGAAACATTATGTGTGTGAGGTATGTAATAAGTCATTTACTGCAAAAGGTAATTTAAAGAACCATATGGTTCTTCACACAGGTGAGAAACCTCATGTCTGTGATGTATGTAATATGTCATTTGCTTACAAACTTTGTTTAAAGATACATATGGTTATTCACACAGGAGAAAAACCTCATGTGTGTGAGGTATGTAACAAGTCATTTACTCAAAAATGTCATTTAAAGGAACATATACTTATTCACACAGGGAAGAAACCTCATGTGTGTCTGTTATGTAATAAGTCATTTACTAAGAAAAGTCATTTAGTAAGACATATACATCCTGTGCATATTTACACAGGAGAGAAACCTCATGTGTGTGAGATATGTAATAAGTCATTTAGGTCCAAGGATAACTTAAAGATACATATGCTTATTCACACAGGAAACAAGCCTTATATCTGTGATGTATGTAACATGTCATTTACTCAAAAAGGCCATTTAAGTAAGCATTTACTTACTCACACAGGAAAGAAACCTTATGTGTGTGAGGTATGTAACAAGTCATTTACTCGCAAAGGTTATTTAAACGAACATATAATTATTCACACAGGAAAGAAACCTCATGTGTGTAAGGTATGTAACAAGTCATTTACTCAAAATTGTCATTTAAATGAACATTTACTTATTCACACAGGAAAGAAACCTCATGTGTGTGAGGTATGTAACAAGTCATTTACTCAAAAAGGTAATTTAAGGAAATTTACTTATTCACACAGGAGAGAACCTCATGTGTGTGAGGTATGTAACACGTCATTTACTCAAAAAGGCCATTTAAATAAGCATTTACTTACTCACACAAAAAAGAAACCTCATGTGTGTGAGGTATGTAATAAGTCATTTACTCTAAAAGTTAATTTAAACCACCATATGCTTATTCACGCAGGAAAGAAACCTCATGTTTGTGAGATATGTAATAAGTCATTTGCTTACAAACTTAGTTTAAAGAGACATATTCACACAGGAGAGAAACTTCATGTGTGTGATGTATGTAACAAGTCATTTACTCAAAGAAGTCATTTAAAAAAACATATACTTATTCACACAGGAAAAGAAACCTCATGTGTGTGAAGTCTTTCACAAACATAGTTTAAAGAACCATATAGTTATTCACGGAAGAGAGAAACATCATGTGTGTGATGTATGTAATAACTCATTTGCTTGCAAACTTAGTTTAAACAACCATATGTGTATTCACACTGTAAAGAAACCTCATATGTGATGTATTTAATAAGTCACTTGCTCAGAAACTTAAACTGTCATATGCGTAGTCACGCAGGACAAACCTTATGTTTCTGAGGTTTGTAAGAAGTCATTTACTCAAAAATCTAATTTAAAAAAGCATATACTTATTCACACCAGAGAAAATCTAAATTATATGTGTAACAAATCACTTGTATGATAGAAAAATTGAAAGTCTCATGTCTATACTTGATGAGAAGGCTAATATTTTTGTGGAAAAGTTAGATTAATAAGAACATTTGCCTATGTGTGCTAAGGACTTGTCCATGCTATAAAGAAATGTCTGGTGTGGGGTGTGTTTAACTTGTCATATCACCTCAGTTCTTAATAAATCATTTGTTTCCAGAAGAGGAAAACCTCATGTTTGCGATATAAGTCACAAGTCATTTTAAAGTGCTCCTGATTTAAAGGAACATTTTCTTAGCCTTAGTATATAATTAGTAATGAAAGTTTTAAGTCAACATCTTTGAACAATGAAAAGTTACACAGATTATACTGTTCTAAATAACGAAATTGTACTGATGTCGCATTCCTCTCATTCAGGTAATGTCATGGATTGTTTGAAAGCTGGAAATGTTGAACAGTTTCATTTGAATGAAAATCTCATTTACATTTTGCACTGTAATCCACTTTTCATTACATTTTTCTAAAAAAGTACAAAATATGAAACATATTATGGAACAGCTTGAGTATAGACCCCATTGGCGATTTTTTGGCTTGGCGACAGTTGCCGAGCCATGGAAAAGCCGTTAAAATTGAAAACACAAGTTAGAAAGCACGTTTTAACCAGAAAAAATTTTAGAATATATGTTTAAACAGCAAATTTGAAGGTGCATAAGTAAGTAGGGGCACATTTTAAGTAGTAATATTAACAGATGTTAAATAGACGTTAGATGAAAATAGATGTTAGAATGCACATTTTAACAAGAAAAATTTTAAATACAAATTTAGAATATATATTTAAACAGTGAAACTGAAAATCAATAAATAATGGCATATTTTTAGCATTCATACTGAAAATACAAATTACAAGCTGTAAAATTGAAAATAGGAGTTCAGAATACATGTTTTAATTAAAAATATGAAATTAAAAATAGGAGTTAAGAATGCATGTTTAAATTAAAAGTAAAGAAAAATTGAAAATACACAAGTACATGGAGGCATATTTTAAGCAGCAGTATTGAAAATGCAAGTTTTAAGTTATAAAACTGAAAACAGGAGTTCAGAATACATGTTTAAATTAAAAATAAAAGAAATGCTGGAAAGTTAGTAAAGTTTACAAAATCATGGTAAATTTACAAAGAAATCCTATACTCTGCCCAGTTTATGTCCCTTACAATTTCGAGAAATTTGTTGAATACAACAATATTTTGCTCCTTCAAAGAAAATGTCACTTTCCAGTTTAAAACACGCAGGAATGGGACAGGGTTGCCAAAGTGGAGTATTCTAGAATTTGCTGGGTTACCAGAAAAACAACTGTCCAAAAAAGTGCGCCAAGCCAAAAGTCGCCAATGGGGTCCTATACTCAAGTTGTACCCATATTATTTTGTGGTATCTTTGTGTGCTGTAGGATTTAAGTATTTTTTTCATCCTCATCAACTTTGGGAACTTACTTTTCAATGTTGAGAATGCTTAAAATTTAGATTTTTGCAAGCTTATGTGTTCGGTATCCTTTGTTTAAAAGATTAATTTTGATCTTTGTTCTTGATACCACTAGACACTTGTAGTGTAGTGTCTATTGAATGAAATCAAAATTTCTTGACGAAGTGAGGTTTTTTTTTTTTTCCTCATACATGTTAATGCAGTCTCCTTAATACAAGTTGATATTTTCAGTATATGCCAAAAATCTGGCAACAATGTGCATAATCATTCTTCCAGCAAACGTGATTATTATAATCCTTCAATCACTTCTGCCATTTTCTATGTGTTCTTTTTTGTTGTATTCCAAAGTTCAACAGTTTTTATAAACAAATCGTGATATTTTTTACCTTAAATTTAGTTTTAAAATATGGCCTTGCAGAATTTATGAGCAGTTTTACCACAATTCTGGGATAAAATTTCTGCAAGAACACAGAATATTGATAAATGCAACAACGAGGAATGCTTTTCCTTGATAGCCGAGTGCTGGATGAACCCATTTCTCCCATTTTTTTAAGCAAAAACAGGTTGTATACTTGGGGACGAGAAAAGTGCCAAAGATTTGAAAAAGAATGCGATTTATTTTTTTATTCATCACGTAATGCTTATTTTATAATTGAAATTTGTATTTTCAACTCTATTTTCTTTTGATATATTGATAATTTTTGCCAATTTATAATAGATATCAATAGTTTGGGAATTATTCTGAAATTGCACCCAATAAGTAACTTTTTACTTTTCATCTGTAAAAAATCAAAAAATTGTATTAAGGTAATTGCTTTCATATATATTACCTTTTTTCTTACTCCTGGGTCCATGCAAATGTTCAAATACATTTATACCTATATATGCCTGTTTATTGTCTGTTATTAAGTATTCAGCTTTAACATCTGGTTCTTGTGGAATCTGCTAACTTTTATGCTACCAGCTTCAAATGCTTCTTCTTGTGAGATTCTGAAGAACGGTTAAAGATTTCTTCACCATGTGCATGCTGTAGCTTGCAAGTTCATTTTTTTTTTAACTTGGCTCCTTTTTGTTAACACAAAATTTAAATATAGTTCATTGATTAGGTGTAAAAATATGTTTCTCAGCTTCAATAAGCTTTCAGTCAATTTTTTGCATATATCAGTGCTGTAGAAAAATCCATGTGCATAAATATATAAAAAGGCACTTAGAAATATCTGTTTCATAAATGTAAAAAACAGTTATGTACTAAATAAGTCTTTAAGGAACTGTTTTAAAATTGCCAAAAGAAAGCATAATTTTAAGTTTTCAAGGACACACTCTGGCTTTCTGTGTGCATGTACCAAAGTAGAGTCTCATGTTTATTTTAAATTTCCTGCATAGTTTTGGAAGTATTTCTGGATATCAATATTAAGACAAATGAGAACCTAAATTTATTTTGAAATTCACTGATGGAGCATGGTGAAATATTTCTCTTATAATGCAACTTAAGAATAGGAAAGAATTTTCAAAATTTTGTACATTACTGTTTGCTATTTTTAACTCAGACATTCTGTGCAAAAATTATATTCAACTGATTTTTGCAAACTGGACTTCTCTAACAGAAATAAGAATTCTAATCTGGGCAAATTATTCTCTTAACAGAATATAATTTTGTCAGATAATTTTAATTGTATTTCACGGGATTGATTGAAGTAACATTGCATCTGTTGTACTCTTCTTATTTTGTTTAATAAATTTTTAAATTATTGCTATAATTTTTTTTCGTCATAGACTCTAAATAGAGTGAGCCAAAAGCTGTATAAATGAATGTATTGATTTTAAGGAAATATTTAAGTAGAAGAATTCTAAAATTTGTATTGTGAAAGTTTGCAGTTGCATGTTTTAAATACCTTTTCCAAATTTGAAAAGATTATTTTGATTTAAATAAAATATTAACTAATATGTGTATAAATGTAGGTTATGGAATGAGTGTTGCCAGTGTCACTTGTTCTTAAAAATTAACGTTTCTTGAAATGGTTTTAGATTTACTTATTAATTTATTTCTAATACTTAATACATCAAGCAGAAGTGTAAAAGAACAGATTTTTGTCAAAAATTCTCTAAAGGCGCCACAGTGAGGAAAGGAGTTTGGTAGATAGCCAGTGTTACACTATGCTGAGTCTATGATGTCTTTCTAAGACATCATGAACTAACTATCTAAGGCACCACAGACCATCTAACGTAAAACAATTTGCTACATGCTTGGGGAGAAGAATAGCAGAAAAAAATTCCAGAATTCATTGGAGATGAATGTAAATGTTTCATTCTCTTAATGTATCACATCATCCTCATTTATTAATTAAAATTTTTATTTTATTTGCTGATGTATATTCTTTTTTCATGTGCTTTTCCTGAACTTAAAAATAGTGTGTTTGTTTGGGAATCTTTTTAAAAGAATGTATGAAAACCACTATCTTACAGCCAATAAGTGACTTTTACCTTTCCATCTACTAAAAAAAAAAAAAAAAAAAAAAAACACTGTAGCGCATTGAGATGGCTTTGTTAATATGGAAGTACCAAAATTTTTTATTAGTCCAAAGGGATTTGAATCCCGAAGGACTATTAGTTTCGTTTTGGCATTTTGCGTCGGACTCATAAATGTCGGTTCACTTTTCAAACTGTTGCCACAAAATGTTAGAGTCCTGCATTATATTTGAAGAAATTAAATAATGAAAAATCTGCATAAATGTATGTATATTTCTCGTATTGTGATAAAACAACGGTACGTAGAGTCATCGAATTTTGAATAACGTAATCCTCCAACGAATATGAGCATGTGGAAGACCAAATTTGAAATTTGAAATCTGTTTTATGATCGGTTTCCTATTTTTTAAAACTTTGACGAATTTTTTATTAACAAACTCAAGGATTTCAAAGCGAGCAATGGCAACGTTGTGCAGAAAAAACATTTTTATCTCCAGCGCGTGAGTCTCTGTATCGGAAATTCTAAAGATATGCTCATTTTAAAACTATTTTGCTATATTGCTGTTGCACTGGATCTTATGGTTTAAGTGCAAGGAACATGATATTTAATAAAGAAAGGTAACACACAAAATGTTAAAAAACGCCCCTTTGGACGTAATTTAAAATCTGAAACATTTCAGATTTTGTTATCTTGTCTTTTATATTTCATAAGTAATCAGAAAGTTTAATCATATATCATTCATTGCAAATAATATGTTTTGCTCTGCAATAAGCTTTTCTTCATAAATATTTCTGCTTTTAATACTCCAAATAATGCATATAAGTATGTCAGCAAACACATACAATGCAGGTTTATTCATGTTGTAGAACAAGGAAGTGAACATGTTATCTCTTTCAGACAAATACAATATTTATATATATGTATGAATATTTACAACAGTTTTTAAGTATTTAATATTATTTGCAAGATAAACCTAACCATACAATCAGAGATAACTCATTGTTAATGTTAATTGTATATTTCATATTTTTTATTAGTTCTTGACTGATAGAGAGTGTAATACTAAACAGCTACCTTTATTGGGTAATGTCTACTAAATAAATTACCTTATTGCAAATACATAAATTGATGTATGTACAGAGTACTTATATTAGAATGTGTTTTATATTTAAAGTAGCAAGCTAATTACAAAATAATAAATAGTTTGAGTATTAATTATAAAATTTATTGGTGGTACTAGTTATATTCACTAATTGATTATAACAAAATAACTATCAGATGAATGTGTTTATATACAGAGTTATGAATGCATCTCTAAATATAAATGAATATATTAAAGGTATATGGAAATATTGAAATTGGCATTTAATTAAGTATTTTTGTCATGATACATCATTTCTACTGCATCCTGTGCTTTAAAACAGGTATCTCAAATCAAAATTTTCCACTTTTTCCTGTTTCTTCACAGCTATAATAACATTTTAGATAAGAGTCCAGTCCCTGAACATACTTTTCTCATTTCCATTTATAGCTAGTTGTTAATGGATTAAAAATTATTTGAATTATCATCTCAAAGGACGAGGAGAAAATTATTTTAGTGAAGGTGCATTTCATGCAAAAATCTGGATAAACTGTAAAATGCATTTCTAAGGTTATAGGATATGTTACCTACTGGTATACATATCAAGTTCATACCAAATATCAGTTATGGATGTTGGCATGCAACGTGCTAAGGAAACGAGGCAAAAATAAAAGAGATACATGCAAGTACTTAAATTTGCATCTACTAAATATATATTTACATATAAATTAACAAATTTAAATCTAATTATAAGTTATTTAACTATTAAATCTAAGTATAAATTACAATTTACAAGATAGTTAATCATAATATTGTATGTGATTTATTTATGATTCCTAGCAGTTTCATTCATAAAGTGCTACAGAATTGTACTAAATACAAAAGCTTACTGGCAATAAAAGCAACCTACACATACACCTGAAACAAAATATGTGTAATAAAGTTATATTCTTGCATTCATACCATTATATTTATCATTTGCAAAGCAATTTGCTTCAACAAATTAACATAGATAAGATATTAACCTTTTTTTTTTTTTTTTTTTTTTTTTTTTTTGTTGTTGTTGTTGTTGTTGTTGCTTACAGAGTGATGTTATTGCATTTTTTCTCAATAATATTATGGAGTTCTAAAATTAGCATGTTGTCATAATAAATTTGATATACTCCAAATAAATTTAAACCTCAGTGCTGATGAAGATAAAATTGCTTATTAGTGGTTGTTTAAAGTCTCACAAAGAGTTGGGATATACAGTGGATGGACAAAAATATGGAAACACCTTGTGAAATTCATGTTTGAAAAGAAAGATTGATTTTAATGAAATATGTAGGTGGCGCTGGCGTTTTTGACTACTGACGCCACCTATACAACTTCGTAAATGTGCTAAACATTTCAGTTGTTGTCGGAGTACTGTTATGGGAGGTTGTCATTGCATTATGTCAGAGTTAACAGACTTCGAACATGGGCAAATTGTTGGAGCACGTATGGTAGATACTTCCGTAAGCAAGGTAGCCGAGGTGTTTAGTGTTTCAAGAGGTACTGTATCGAAGATTTATTCCGCATATTTGAAAAGCGGAAAAACATCATGTGCTAAATCACAGCGCGGACGAATGTGTGTCCTGAGTGATTATGACAGACGATCATTAAGGGCAATTGTGACGAAAAATAAGAAGACCACAGCTGCAAAAGTTACTGCTGGAATGAATGTTGTGTTACCGAACCCTGTGAGTACCAAAACAAGTAGAAGGGAGCTTCATAAACAGGGAATTGCTGGCCGTGCTGCAATTGAGAAGCCACTCATCGGTGATGCTAATGCCCGTAACACGAAAAGGTGGTGTTTAAGTCATAAAGCCTGGACTATAGAGCAGTGGAAGCGAGTAATATGGTCTGACGAGTCTTCTTTCACATTGTTTCCCACTTCTGGCCGAGTTTACGTCTGGAGAACGCCATCTCAAGCCTATAATACAGACTGCTTGTTGCCAAGAGTGAAACATGGCGGGGGTTCTGTTATGGTTTTGGGCAGCCATATCGTGGTTCTCTGCTAGCCCCATGATAACTGTGTCAGGGCACATGACTGCCAAGACTTACGTGAACATTTTGGTCGATCAAGTTCATCCCATGGTACAAACTTTGTTCCCCGATGGTGATGGTGTCTTCCAAGACGACAAAGCCCCTGTTCACACAGCTCACATTGTCCAGGACTGGTTTTCTGAGCACGAGGATGAGTTGTCCCATCTCCCCTGGCCACACCAGACCTGAATATTATCGAACCTTTGTTGTCTACATTGCAACGGAAAGTGCGTTCTCGTTATCCACCGCCAACATCGTTATCTGAACTTGCCACAGTTTTGCAGGAAGAATGGTATAATATTCCCTTGGCAAACATACAGGAACTGTATTTATCCATTCCGAGAAGACTGCAAGCTGTTTTGGATGCCAACGGGTTTCCTACACCATATTAAGCAAAGAAACATGTTTTTTTTAAAGGTGTTTCCATATTTTTGTCCAACCCCTGTAGATGTGTATGTGTATGTATAGCCGCAATATTGTTTCCGCAGCTAGGCGGGACTTCGCTTCAGGCGGGGCTCTTTTTTTCTAGGAATCCTCCCGTTTAAACCAGTGCTACCAGAATCTCGTTTCTCAGAAAAGTCCCGTCTAGCAGAGACTGTAGTCATGTCTCTTATAAGAATACAAAGAAAATACAGTACTTTATGGATTTTTTTTTCCCCTCTTCAGAAAAAACACAAAAATACTTTCTACATACACAATTTAGATGAATATGTGTAACATAAATATAAGTAAATTTCCCTTAGAAATTAATACATGAAGACATCACTTCTATTAGACAGATAATGCTTGTGTACCTTGCTTTAAACATTTAGTGGACAGATTGAACCAATTTTGCATCACTGAGCAAGTTTGATGCCTGCAGCTCAAATTGTGTATGGTTTTCTCACTAGAAAGCAAGAAAGAAAATCTACAGAGCAAGCATGGCCAAACTGAGTCTCGGATTCATTTAACATTGTAATGGAGTAGTTTTACTTCTGAAACATAAATGTCATTTGAAACATAATTTGCGTTTTTTAATTTATGTCTATTACGTTGTGTTTATGTTTAAATTTTATGTCTTTTTAATATTCACTAATTTAATTTTTTAAACCACATTGTGTGTATAATGATTTCAAACTATGCCTTATTATTATCTAATCTGTGATAAGTTAAAAACAAAGGGCAAATAATTCCATACATGTAACTACTGTGTTAATATTACTCTTGAAGTATGTTGTGGCTATCAAGACAGCAGAAAATATAAATGTAACCAGCTGTGTTCATAATGTACCTCAAATCGTACCGAATGCCCTATGAATAAGTGTTGTTGTGATTTGCATTTGGAAAAACTTAACAAGTCTAATGATCTAAATTTCCAATGAATTAGTTACGTGATGCAGTATTGAGTTTTGTTTTGTATACCCCCCTGAATTTAATTGTGTGGGCTCAATGCCCACATAATAGAGAGAATTAACTATACTTTTCTCTAATTCCAATACTTTGACATCTGACAGCTGTAATTTTTTTTTTTTTTTTTTTTTTTTTTTTTTTTTTTTTTTAACTTTTTCATGTTTGTTACCATTACTATGAGGAGACTGTATAGGTTAAGAGTCAAGAAAAATTCCTAGTTCTATATTCTCAAATTACTGCATGATTTTTACATTATTGTAAAAATACTGAACTGAAAAAAAATTAAAAACCTGAAGAAAAAGCTTTATTTATTATCTGAAAAAGTAAAGTGTAGAAAAGTTTACAGTTTGTACATCCAAGGAATATGCTTCCTCGAATAAAGAGGTAAAGCAAGAACTATTACATGTTTATGTTTGTAAATAAGCATAAATGCTAAAATACAAACTCTTGTTAATTTCCTTAAAATGTATATATATATACATATATATATATATATATATATATATATATACAGGGTGATTATAATTAAAGATTAAGTTTCAAAACGCTATAAAAAAAAGAACCACTCATGAAAATGACGTCAAATTTGAAAGGAATGTTATTGAAGAAGGCGAAGGGGAAAGCGTATGGCAGAAGAAAAAATTTAGTTTCAAAAGTTAGCAACAGATGGCGCTGCA